CCACTTCCCCACAAGTGTAGACACCTTCCTGGGATGGGCTTACTCTAGAGTAAATTACTCTAGTGTAAACCCACCCTGGAGTATTTTCACATGAAGACACACCATGATTTTACTTAAATTAACACAGCATTCCATATGGACAAGGGCTTTGACAGTTAAGAAAGAACCTAATCAAATTGGCAGATAAATTTCTTCGGGTAAATCCAATATCTTTTATTAGACCAACTAAAACAGTGGGGGGCAATTATTTTGGGTGGAGGGCTGCTTACTGAGTTTTAGCAAGCCATCGAGGGCTGCATGACAGGTGGCCAGGGCAGATAAATATTACCTTTCTAAATTTTTAGGGACCCTGCAGGCTGGATAGAATGGCCTGGCGGGCCGCATTTTGCCCACCCCTGAACTAAAATAATTGGAAAAATTCTTCTTTGCAAGCTTTTGGGTGCAAACACTTGTCTTGAGGCTAAGGAAGTTTGCAGTTGGTTTGTACTCCTTGTGGATGGAATAGAATAGAAGCCAGTATGCAAGAATGCCAGTCAGTGAAAATTCAAATTGAGGCAGTCAGTGTGTGAGATACAGGCTGAGGCGGAGGGATGTAGACTTGGTGATAAGAATATAACTGGTAAATAGTAGAATGATTACCTAGTTTATGTTTAATCATTTGTTTTGTTTCATTTTAGCATGTTCATTGGCTGGTATTCCAGGCATGAGGAAGTGGTTTTTTGCAAATCAAGTTGTAAGTGGGTTTTGCCAGGTAAGAGGGAGAAGTTTTAGGAGTTCTGTAGCTGACTAAACAAACTTTGATTAACATAAACCAGACCATAATTAATACATTCTTTTTGCTTCACTAGTTCTGCAGTCTGGACTGGGAAGAGATTAGTTTTGACTCAAAGAAAAATGAAACTGAACACTTTCTCCAAACAAATACTGAAGAATGCCTGGGTTTTGAGGAGGAAGATAGTAGCAGCAGAGAGTCACTGTTGCTGACTGAGTAGGCTTATTAAACTTTTATTGAAACTTTTATTTATTTGATATTTAATAAGTACAGGTTGCATTTCAGTCAAGAGCTTTGGATTTTTGCCACCTGCAGCAAGACTTTTCCCATATCCATCTCAGCATCTTAGAATGCAGTGCAAAAGAAGAGAAAATCACTAATTCAACAATAAGTAAAAACCTTGAAGAAATGCATGCAGCAAAATGTAAAATGATGAGAGAAATCTCAGGAAAAACCAGAAATAAGTTTCTTGCCTTCTAAAATAAAACGACCGAGGAAAAACTACTTGTGAACAATACACTGAACCATCATAGTGCAACTTTCCTATGACATGAATTCAGAAAATGCCTTAGAGGGTCACATGGGTCAGGTTTATGTTTCAAATTGCAAATTAAATAGCGAGGCAGTTACCAGTCTAAGTAATAATGAAGTAAAGTCACTGGCATTTGCCCTTCTTAACATAAAGGGAACCAAATGACTCTATGTTCTTTTAATGATTTCGAACTATGGAAAACTCTTAGATTTCTAAGACCTTTTAATTTAAAATCCTAGGTTTTACGTGGTAAACATTTCAAAGTTATATGTGCTTGCATTTTCATTTCTTGCATCCTAAAACATGCTTTGGTGTATTTCCTTTGGAAAATAAACTGCTGCAGAGAGTACATTTATATATAGAAACAAGTTTCTTGAGTTAGTGAAAATAAAATGATTTGTGCTAAATATAACTAGTATAATGCTTACGTCACTGTTGGTAGTTAGCTGTGGTATTAACTTCTGGTGCTCATAAGGACATATATGTGAAATGGAAAATACTTTTGGTAATTCACTTTAGAGGGAGTCTAGGTTAATTCACAGATTGTAGGGCTGGGAACTAGATACTCTTAAATTCTAACCTTAATTCTATCATTGAGTGCGTCTCCTGTAGGAAAGCACTTGACTTATTCTTCCTTCAGTAAAAGTGAAGATGATTACGATACCTATTGGGTTGATTTGATGAAAAAGTTAGTATTTAACATCTTCAAAGTACTCTACAAAGTGATAAATATCACTTGCATCTTTCCAAGTCAGTTCTAAATTATTTTACATGTCATTTTGTTTCCCCAACTTAATTTCAGTGTTTATGAAGAAGCTGCAGAGAGTCTGCATCAATTGTCAGACAAGCTCCCTGCTCCAGGTAATCATGCAATATGTGGAAATCAAAAAATCAGTCTTCTGGAGAAGACCACTGAGAAGTATGTATTTATCATAATGATTTGGAACTCTGTTTATGCAAAGCCACACAGATAAGTAGATAAAAGGTAGCAGTACAGGAATGACAGTGTTTGCCCTCTGGCTTCACTCTTAACAGCTCCACAGAAGTAGTTGGTGAAAGGACTAATGGAGAAAATGTTACTGTTGCAAATTAATCAGGTCAGGAGGAAAGGGCAATGGAAAGGGATTCAAGTGACCGTGTAAGAAGCTAAGAGAATAGCAGATATTGCTGAGAACATGGGTTAAGAAGGAGAATGAAGTAGCTTTGTACAACGAGTATTCACACAGGCTGAGCAGGGAGGAGTAATTACAGTGAGCTTTGAAAGTGACAGACAGCTTAAATTTGATTCACCCTATAAAGGATGTGGGCAGTGGAGAGGTATAAAGGGAATGAAAATCAGCTTGACAGGCATTACCAACTGCAGTTCGTATATAGATATGTATATTTCAGTATTTAAATACAATATGCTTAAGCATTGTATTAATAGTAGTACATTTAGGTATTTTTAGATTTGCATTTAGATTTTACATTTAGAAATACTTAGGTTTATATGTGTGTTTTAGGAAGCCACGGAGACTGTTGTGGTAGTTGAGGCAGAGTTGTTGTAGGATAGGAAGAGAAGAATGGCACATGCATATGTCAATCAGGAAGAAATTGGGCATAGTCCAGATGTGTTGGGTAGAATAAGAGAGAGAGGAGAATAAGAGGCTTCAGTGACAGGAGAAGCAGAGTTGTTGACGCTGATGGAGGAGGAGGGACAACAATGAATTCAGTTTTGTCTGTGTTAATTATAAGCAGATGACTAACCATCCAAAAGGTAATGCTAGAAAAAGGCATCTAGAAGTACTTCAAATCTTGTGCCTAAATTACTTGTGGTGGTCCCTTTAATACATTTAATAGTAGTCCATAATAAGACATGCTTTCTGTGGTATATTTTGATAAGTTTGACTAAATCCTTAAAATAAGATGAATGCTTGTTTCCAAAACTTGAATGTATCACAGTAATGTTGCAGTAATTGTGTTGCTAGGAAGAGCTATGGTTGATGTAATACTACAGACTGGTGAACCTGATGCCCCCAAGTTAAAAGACTGCTTACCTGCTATCGGTGCCCTGAAACATCTGAGAGAATGGCACTCTGCAAAAATCACAATAATAGCAAATGACTGTAAAGGGTATGTTTTTTATTTGATATATGCAAACAAAATCATTTTTTGTTTTGAGTATGCTACTGTTTTGAAATGAAGTTCATGAACTTTCATAGCACTTGACAGACATTTTTTAGGAATATATGGATTTCTCTTGTCATTTTTAAAAAGAGAGTTCCAGGCAGTTTTGTTATTGTAAACACATGGTTTTGACAGAAAAAAATGCAAGATATTTAAATATCTATTATTAACAAAGCAAAGATAAAATATCTCATATAAATTTCTCTTGTACATAGTTTGCCCTTCATTTTGCATAGAGCGTTCTATGAAGTTAATATGTTACAATACATGATAATTATTATTAACTATTAGTAGATTTTGATCTGCTTTTGTAAAATGGATACAAACTTGCTGGTTTTGTCATTTGAAGTTGTTGATTACTTTCAGCATTTCTAATTTAATGATTGCATTCTTTGGCCTCCCCTAGACAACACAATATAATGACTTTCTCTAGCTTTTAAGTACTTTCACTTATACTTTAAATGGCTTTATTAATTTACCTCAATGACAAACCAAACCAAACCAAACAGTTAACTTAGTACAGAAAAGTCCTTCTCTTCTAATTAATTCTGAGCTCTTGATATCCAGCAGAGTATATTTTATTCTGAGCCACAAGTCTCCTCAACAGCTTTCTTTCTGTGGAGAGGAAAAAGCATCATAATAAGTTCAGCCATGCAAATTACAATCATCTGCTATAACATACTTTTTTTTCCCCCAAAATTTCAAGCTTGGCACTTGAGAGACAGCTTTAATTTTATATTGTTAGGGACATGGTAAACAAAATCGTGGGAAAACAAGGAAACCTAAGGCATAATTCTTGGATAGACCCCAAAACAGAATACTTTTAGCTACAGAAAGCATCTTCCTATTGTGCAATGCCTATTAACATGTAGGGGGGGATATGGAAAAAAAGAACCAATTTATCATGAGTGGAAAAACCCTTACTAATCTCAAACAATATTGATTACTGATTCCTTGGGCAGCTTACTTTTGATCAGATAGGCTTAGGCCTGTCCTGTGCTGCACAAAATGAGGCAATCTGGGCCTGCTTTTTCAGTATGCCAACGCAAAGAAACAACAAGGGAAGGGAAAGCCTCTAATTGGCAAAAGAAGGTGATATTTTCTCTTTCCATCAACGTCTCTTACTTCATTAGATGGCAAACTGTGGAGCATGCAGACTGAATAATGGGCTGATGAAGAGTATATTTATGTTGCAGTCAGTACTGACTGCAGTGTTATGTAGTGTTTATATCTGAGGCTAGAAGTCGATGTTGCCAAGTGGAGCATATCATTTGTGTTGTGGTGTGTCACAGCACAGTTGATCTGCTTCATTAGACAAAAAATATGTTGCCCCTTGTGCCACTCTTGATGTCCCACCCTTGTTTTCTGCTTTCCTCCCTCAGCAAGACCTGTCCCCAACAATCTTAGGAGTGGGTCTGAATGAGTGGGTAAACTGGGGCTTTTCCCTGCTCAATGAGACATGTTCCTGTGATTGCGGGAGATGGGTCTGGCTGAGCAGGGAACCCCAACTTTCCCACTTTTCATAGTTTCATAGTTTCTAGGGTCGGAAGGGACCTGAGCAGATCATCGAGTCCGACCCCCTGCCATGGCAGGAAAAAGTACTGGGGTCAAACGACCTCAGAAAGATGTTCATCTAGCCTCCTCTTAAAGACCCCAGGGTAGGAGCCAGCACCACTTCTCTTGGAAGTTGGTTCCAGATCCTAGCTGCTCTGACAGTGAAGTCGTGCCTCCTGATATCTAGCCTAAGTCTACCCTCTGCCAGCTTGTGACTGTTATGCCTAGTCACTCTTGGTAGTGCTTGGCGGAGCACGT